CCTCGGTGCCGTTTGAACTTCTTCCTTCAGCACCATTAGTTCTTGCTCATGCTACCTCCTGAAATGTGAGCTTTGGACTAGTTCTTTTTGGTACTGTGACTCTGTGTATTCTTTCCATCGTCTCTTGACACTTCCTGTATCATTCAATATTTTGCCCATAGAATCTTTCAAGATTGCAACTCAAGTCTTGAATTTTTTTTCCTCACTCAACATAATGTCCTCTAAATCCATCCATGTCACGAGATAGTTCAGTTTCCTTATTCTTTAGGAGCGTTCCATTCACTATGTGTAGGTGTCTAAGTTTATTTATCCTTTCTTCCACCTGTTGGTATTCATGTTAATTCCATCTTCCTGCTTTTGTGAATTGTGCTGCAATGACCACGGCAGTGTATATATCCGCTCACGCTGTGTTCTTTGTTTCTGTAGGGCATATACCAAGGAGGATCCCAGGGCCAACTGGGATTTCTATTCCTCCACTGTTTGAGGAAGCACCATATCACTTTGCACAGTGCTATGTTGTTTCACAACACCACCAGCTGTGGATGAGCGTTGCAATCGCTCGGCACCCTATCTCACATTTGCTGTTTTCTCTTTAATTTTATTCTTTAATGTTGATATCCATGCCAGGGTAAGATAGTATCTCATCACTGTTTTGTGTTCAAGTGGCTGGTGATTGAATGGCTAGTGATCATGAGTATTTCTTCCTGTTGTTGGCCACCTGGATGTCTCCTTTGGTGAACTGTAAATTGCCCTGATGGGAGTTGTTTTCCTTTATTTATATGGTGGATTGAATTTTCTAATCATTCCATACTTGATATGAGTCCCAGTTGATCCTGATGTGTGTGTGTGTTATTTTGATGAGGTTTTCCGTTTTCTTTGAAGTTATTGTAAGAATTGAGTTAATGTTCACTAATGGGTCGATTTTATTCTATTCTGTTTGCTGCTTCACCCATAACATTTTAATATCCCCACTGATCAGTATGAGTCTTTGATGGGCCAATATCAGAGGCTTGCTGCTTTGAACCCTGCTGTGGTTTCTCCAGAGGCCTTCAAGTTGACTCCAGCCCAGGGTGACCCCATGGGTGTCACCGGGTTCTCCATGGCTGAGTTAGCTGAAGTGGATCTCGGACCTTCCTTCTAAATTCCCCCTGGGCAGAATCTACCTTACTAACCTGCGATATGCATGTGGCACATCCTGGCTTGCTAAGAGCCAAGAGACCTGAAGCGCTTGCTGCTGATCAAACTACCACCTTCAATACATTCTTTTACTTCATTGCCAACATAAAGGAAACAAAAATCCAATAACCAGTATCATAAACAAAAAAGACTGACATTCTCCAGGATTTCATTTTACTTGGATCCATAATCAATCCTCATGGAAACAGCAGTCAAGAAATCAAATATATTGCATTGGCTAAATCTAATACAAAGGACCTTTTTAAAGTGTTATAAAGCAAAGTTGTCAACATAAGGACTTAGGGGTCTTTTCAATGGCCTCATATACATTTGAAAGCGGGACAATGAATAATGTGGACCTAAGAAGATGATGAATTCTAGCTTTTAATTATGGTTTTAGTGAAAAATACTGAATAGGCCATGGTTTACATTTGGGGAGCAGAAAAGCAAACATCTGCTCCTTAGAAGCAGGACTGGTGTGCTTTGGACATGTTATCTGGGGGGACCTGGAGAAGGACCTCATGCTGGGTGAAGTAGAGGGTCGGCAAAAAAAG